GGGAATTAATTAAGGGAGTTACAAATTTTTGAAATTCAAATTCCCTCCCAATTTTCTTTCAAGAAAGGAGTTACATGACATAATTAAAATCTGAAATCTAAATTTCAAATTTTGATTAATTAATTGTGGTCCCCACCTATTTAATTCCAAGCCTCTCTCTCTCTCCCATATGGCCGGCCACCTTCTCCTATTGTTTCTCTCTCTACTTGCCACCTCATCACTACTTAAACACCTCTTTAATACCCCTCTCCCTCAGGTTTAATTTCAGTTTTCCATGATTTTAATTTCAAATTTCAAAATCTGAAATTTGAAATCAATTCCTCCCCCTTAATGGCCCCCCTCTCTCTCCTAATCATTTTAATAGCTCCACAAATTCAGCCCAAATCTTCTCCCCATTGCCGCCCCCCTCTCCCTCCTTGGATTAATTTGAAATTCAAATAATCCCTCTCCTAAACCACTAAAATCTGAATTTTATTTCAGATTTCCTGCATTTGCCTCTTAGCCCCCACCATAGCCGTCAAGGGAGTTTCGATAAGACGTTGGATGCTCACTAGTCATCCCATGGACTACCCGCCACCGGCTACCGCTCCAATGGACTACGCTTTTGTGTGCCATTTGTCTCCTAGTGGCATCGCTCGGTTGCTCTCAATCTTCCTCCATTAAAAGTGCCACCAACAAGAGAGTGAGTGAGAGACCCAAGGTGAAAAGTTCTATTTGTTAATTGTGAATTATTGTTTCTCCCCATAGCATTACTCTCTAATTCTATGTTGTCAATTTGATATTGTCCCGTTAATCTAGTTATAACCGCATGCCTTACTTAATTTCAACTTGATAATTCTGAAAATCTAACTTGGGTAAGCATTAATTCTATAACTAGCAAGGCTTTAAAATCTTATATTAAAATCCCCAAGCAGTTCTTGTTCCATTGCATGTTGTATCACATCATTGATCCATGGTGAAACTTACCTCCAGTGCAGCTTTTCTGACTTCAAAATCTATTACAGAGATCTTGTTAAAGCTTGGATCCACCGAGTACCGAAAAAGCTTAAGAGCTCCAAAAGTCCGCGAATCCATGTCTTCAAAAGTCATGCCGTAAATCTTATCACTTTATAAAGCAATACATTGAACCTCTACCTAACATGATGTGATATATACTGGAACACCTATCAATCTTAGGAGTCGTTTGCAATCCTCGTGTTATGTTGATTTGTTACATTGACAATTCACTTGCTAAACTTCTCCAATTTCTTCATGATTCCCCTATCTGCTATAGTCGCTAACTCCTTAGTGGCATCATCACTCCTTGAGTATCTTTTGGCAACCTCCTATTTCTCTAAATTAGGTGGCTGGCCATCAAAGACATACATTGGTTAAATTCCCACTATCTAATTTTGCCGCTGAATATTTCTTGCAAATGGCTAATGACTTCAACTACCTCATTGTTAGCCTTGATTCCAACCTTTCCCACCACAAAAAGGAACTGATAGGTACTCCTAGCATCAGTAGCACGTTAGCAGTAGAAATTCACCACTTACACCCATCATTAACCACTATTGACACCCAACATCAATTGCTGCATGTCGATGCTGAATAGGGTTGTCAAGTAGGGCCAAGAGCCAATGTCCACCATCCATCATTGTCCTTCACCAACAAATGCTATCACCTAACTCTTTGCATTGAAATCCCATATTCTATGTTAATAGAGAAGTAAAGATTATTTTAACGATGGAATTTTTTCAACTAGGCCAAATACTATGATTTTGAACTACACGAGCACCTGCACATCTCTCACATTAATTTTGCACCACACGAAATAGCTAATGATTTGCATTATAATTGGACCACCATTAACATGACAATTAGGAACATCCCCTTAACCATCCTCAACCCCTAGTTAGCATGATGGTGTTGAATGCATGAGTTATATAACATGTACTTCGATATAATGTTATCACAAAGGCCAGTGATAGGATTAATATCACACCTCTTTAATCCATAGTGACCTATTTTTGAATGACCGGAATCCAATTCAACATAGTGAATATTCTAATTTTGTGTATAGAAATCTCGCCACCATTAGGAGTTCTAGAGCTTGCCAGAAGCAAAATCTTACCCTAAGGCATATCATTGCATACCCTCTGGAATCCAAAAATAATCTCACCAACCCTGCACTACCAGATTACTTAACCCTCTAACTTCACCAATCATTCGCATGGAAGTGATCAAAAGGCAGAAGAAGGGGGCAAAACTAACTCAACCTCCTCATCAAGCACATCAATATCCATAAGATGAGTGGACAACCCTGCTCGCCTGGAGTTTAATTAGATGATCATATTCAACAGGAAAGTCAATGATGGGAGCAAATGCAAGATAGCACAAGATGGATCGTACCTGATTTCAAGAACAATTTTCCCTCTATGCCTATTTTCACCCATAGCCAACGTCGCCAAATCAAGGGCTGTCAGAATTTTAAAGTGTCTTATGTTTGTTCTGATTTTATTGTCTTCATCAATTTTCTCCTTTCTAAGATGTCAAACAAGAGATAAGTATATTTTGGTTAGAAAATGTGCTTGTTATTGTATCTATACTTACTTTGTGCTCTTTTAGTTCTTTTAGATTAAAAATTAATAATAAAAAAAAAATATTTTCTTGAATTTTATGCCTTTTTTTTCTCATATTACATTTATAAGAAGCATAAAATGAGGGGGAGAAAAATAAAATTTGACCTATTATTTAAATGCTCTGATTAAAATCTTTGAGATATAATTTCAACCAAATATATTTGTCATTGGCAAAACGAGGGAGGTGAGATTTTTGGACCCCAAGAGCCTAGTGTGCACACTAAGATTTTGATGATTACAAATATTCTTGGTTATGTTAATTTAAATTGTAATTGAGCATTTAGATTATTATTTTCAAACTAACATTTCAAGTAAAAGGAAAGACAAAAAGAGGAAATGATTGAGCCTAAAATTACAAATATGAAGCAGTCAAAGACAAGGTCTCAAAAAAAGTAAAATGTGTCAATTTGTAATATTTTTTATTTTTTAGTCCTCCTTTGTTTGTATAGGAATATCCGAATATAGTGGGATAAATAACCAAGCACACACAGAAGGGTGTAAAATGAATTAAAACAGAAAAAAGCTCATGGGGTCCAACAACATTTGTTTCTAAATGTTAATACCATAATGTTTATTCTCCAACCATTTGCATCGTGATGTAAGACAAATTTCTATCTTTAGATGCAAAACAATAAGTAGAAGAATTATAACCAAAATAATAATGCAATAATAGAATAGATTCAAAGAAATCAACAAAAAATTATAACCATGCAAAAGTAGTGAGCAATTGCAATTTATTCATCATAATTACAATCTCAATTAAGAAATATTTCCTAATTGAAAATCACCTACTTAAAACAAGCAATAAATAGGAAATATCCAAATAGCCCTCAAATTAGCCCCCAAATCTGTCTTCTTTAATTAAGAAATATTTCCTTAATCCCCTCTAAAATTAGCCCCCAAATTTGCCCTCTTCAATTAGAAACTATTTCCTAATAAATCCCCTCCAAATCAACCCCAAAATCTGCCCTCTTCAATTGAGAAATATTTTCTAATCAATCCCTTCCAAATAAGCCCTCAAATCAGCCCCTAAATATGCCATCTTCAATTAGGAAATATTTCCTAATTAATCTCCTCCAAATCTGTCCTCTTCAATTAAAAAATATTTCCTAATTAATCCCCTCCAACTCACCCCCAAATCAGCCCCTAAATCTGCCCTCTTTAATTAGAAAATATTTCCTAATTAATTCCCACCAAATCAATCCCCCCTCTCCTGCAGCTCCCACTCCCGTCGTATCATATAATCGCCATTCATATAGATATAACTATATTAGCAGGTGAAATGGGAACCACAAGAATAAATGGAAGATGTCATAGTCCCACGATAAGAAACACACGTGATTGTATACCTAAAAAAAGAAGAAGATTCTAGAGTCCTAGAGACGACAGAGAAAATAGGCCCAAAATAAGGAAGTCTTGGCCTGATATAGCCTAAAGATAAAAAAAAATGTAATAAGCGCCCTTAAAATCCAAATTGAAGAAAATAGAAGAGCCCACCCACCCTAAGAATAAGAAACCATAGTTTAAATAACAAAAATGGAGGTAAGCTACTATATCAATTTATTACACTTTAGTGATGATGATTGATAGCTCCTTATTCTATGTATCATCTCTAACATCCCTAAAGAGACGCAACCATTGCAGTAGGCATAATCACCATTGTTCAACAATTAGGGCAATCTCAACTAGTAATCTATCTTAATACCTGAACAAGTCAAGATTATAACAGACAATCCAAACAAAATCAATTGTCCCTGTCCCAAAACTCTTGCTTATAAATGTTCATCACCTAGAAAACTAGGGGAAGGCATGTTGACATAAAAATAGCTTTACATAAGTTAAGTGTATGTCAAATATAAAAACAAAAAAAGTGTGTCAAATATTAATGATACCATGATTCTCAAAAGCAGGATAACACTACCTACGATTGTCAAATCAAAAGGAATGCCGAGCCACCTGAAGATGTCTTGAGACTACATTATCAAAATCTTAAAAGCATGACTATCAAACTTGACATGGCCCGACCATGATTATCGAATGCACATCAACAAATAAATAAATAAATACTTTTGCTAATGTCAAATATACCATCCACTTAAGTGATAAGAATGTCCCAATGTTTGCATTTTCCTTCATTAAAAATGTTGCCATTTTATAAGTCATGGAAAAATCATTGAAAGCCTAGGAATCCTATAGGATATTCCTTTTCAGTACAACTAGAATGATTCCTTTTTAACTCATGCTTCTAACTTGAGCGTCACTCTAAAGACAAGCAAACATAATTTCTTGGCTAGGGCATGCGAAGCGCATTCTTGAATAACAAGCATAGACAGAATAGCCCTACAAGAAAAGAAGGTACATCCCAAAAGCACCAAAGATAATTAGAATTACCAGTATGATAGAAAGCATAGAATAGACTTGATTTTATGATAGAATGACAAAATGGGGAAGAAAAAAAATGAAGAGAACACAGCATAACTATTGCATAAACTCTGAACTATGCAATTACTTAATCTTCCAGCATTTTGTACAATTAAAAAAAAAATTCCAAAGCAAAAAGGTCAAACGATGGCTCATACCAACAAAAAACTCATACCCTGAGACCAGTACAGCAGTAGAAAGTTCAACCACATGAAATGAACCATCTCAAGGAAGGGTTGCTAGCCACCCCATGAGCTGTTGATGCAGCACACATTCACAAGGTGACAGATGAAAATAGTCGTCCTCACAATGATGACAATACTCAAATACACCAAAACCATACTTACCATACTTAGAATCCCACCGAAAAACCTTAAGATGTGAAGCCTTTTCAATAACCTCATTAGTGATGCCAGATATTGCATATCCAGAGACATCAAGGAATTCAAGCTTCTTCAACCCATCAAGTAGAGTAAGGATAGCACCTCTTGACATTATGCATTCAGTGATCTCAAGCTTTTGAAGGTGTGGTAGACAGTCACAAATGATAGAAGCCAATTGTTTATCCATGGTATCAGAAAAGACCTTCAACTCGATAAAGTTACTAGAACATTGGTTGACATGTTGAAGGACCTGATGACAGATTAAATTCTCATCCACAGCCATTCCCTTAAGAAATTTGAGTTTACTGATGGTTTTGCAAAATTCAGTTTCAGATACATCAGGATTCTCCATGCTGAAATATTGAAGCATTGGACACCTAAAATCATTTCAATTGTTTTAATATTGGCATTGGCAGATTGCTCAACAGCAAGCAAAAAACGGAGTAGGAAGTCAGCAAACCGAACTATGAAAGGGGAAAAAATCATAACTTAGACAGAGAATAGCGAAAGAACATTAAAAAAGATATTCAATTACAATTTTTTTAAGGATGAAAGATAAATCGTAATATCTCTGACTCAAACCTATGAACCTTAAAAAATAACCTTCAAGGATACTTCTACAACGGAAGCACTACAAAATCAATAAACAGACAGCAAAGCAAAATTAAGCTTTAGAACAGGTAAAAGAAAAAAAAATATAAGGGAAACCAAAATCTCATTAACAGGGTGATTACGAACCAAAAAAAAAATTAGTGAAATAAAAACTCCAATTTGAAATAAAAGAAACCCTACCCGCAAAAACCAGAGTAACTGAAACGTCAAAACAGAAAATGAAATAGAAGATTCAATTTCGAATAGAGATATCCCAACAAGCTCCACGCATGGAAGCGACATACGAAATCAAATCTAACAATTATCATCAGCATCATGGCCCCAGCGCCAAACTTCCACCACTGTGCAGGAAGCAAAGAGAAGAAAACAAAACATGCATAAAAATGGTTCACCTGTTTGCAAGGTATTCAAGATTGGTCTCATCGGAAAAGCTTGGGAAGTAAACACAATCGATGCGTCCCACACTTCGGGAAATAGCGAAATTGAATAGATCAGCGAAGTCGACAGCTTCATCGCGCCGGCAGCCGAGGCGAGAAGAAATGGTGTCCCAAGACCGGAAGTCCAGAACACGCCAGCAAAATGGATCCCGCACAGCGCTCCGCCACGATGAGCACACATAGGGCAAGCCGGCTATCAGATCTTCTACTCCGATCCGCGAGAAGATCGCCACCAAGAGTTCGCTGCCCAGGTCCTCCCACCTCCTGTTCCCTCCGTCACCGGAGGGGCCACTTACCTTGTCGGCTACCTGTAACTTGTTTCTCTTCTCCATCTCCGACGACGTGCTGCGGAGTTTGCCCTAGTTCATCTGAATCCCTTTGCGGGTTTTTTTTTTTTTGGTTTAAGATTCTTACGGTTACGCGAAACTAGGAAGTGGCGTATCCAGAAAATCGCCAAACATTTTAGCGCAGCATGCGGCGTAAAATCCTTTAGCGAATCCTCCCGATCCGAGAGAAATTAGCGGAGACCGTACGCATTATAACTCGTGATTAATGATAACGTTATAAATAGAAGCATATTCAATTTAACTTAATAATAGTATCATGTGTTTTAAAAAAAATTTAAGTTCTAAAGAAAGGTGCATAAACTATTTAATGCAAGCTTTAGAATTAGTCAAATGATTTGATGCATTCTTAAATTAAAATACATATTCATCATTTTCAATCGAATAATTTTTTTTTTAAATTACCGTAGCAATACGTCAAACTGTTTGATTTATTCTAAATACCTCAAATAATTTGGTGCATTTAATGAGATATGTCATTGTGTTTGACTAATTTGCTTCTTTTCAATTTTTTTTAATACACAATTTCTATCCTTATTTAATTAAACACTATGCTCCTTAAATAAAATCCTAATTCAATGATTTGAATTAATAAATTCAAGTGGTGCTCATTTTTAAGAAAGTAATTAACAAAAGGTCGTTAAATTTTAGAGTTTTGATGGAATAAAATTTTTATAATGAAAATGAAATTTTAATTAGAGAATATTGCATTCTTTGAGGAGAAGATCTACTATAGCTTTCAACTTATCGATAAATTTAAAACTCCTCCTAAGTTCTACTATTTTTTCTATTAATGTACATTTTACTAAGCTTAATTTTTTCAACAGCAGAGCACATAGAGGAAGGTGACCTAGTACATGAAGTTTAGTATTTAAAGAACTTAGATTACTTAATAAATAATAAAAAAAATTATCATAAAAATTATATTAGATAAACATTATTTAAATGTAATATAAATTAGAAATTTATTACTATATATATGTTTTAAAAATTAAAATTATATTATTTAAATGGTATACAATATTATGAATTATAATTTTTTAGCATTATTTATTTAGAAATAGGCAGTCTTTCTCCCTGTAAATGTGAAGGACCTAAAATTTATAACTAAATTAATAAGTTTTATCAGAAATAAATAAATAAATAAGCAAAAACATATATTTGGTTCTCTGCCGACACTTGGAGAGTGTGAACAGACGAAGGGTTCACTGCCTACACTTGGAGAGTGTGAATAGCCGAAGGGTTCTCTGCCTATACTAGGAGAGTGTGAAAGGATGACGATTCTCTGCCAATACTGTGGATTGTGTGAAAGGACGGACATTTCTCTGCCAACACTAGGGATTGTTTAAAAGGACTACGGTTCTCTGCCGCACCGGGGAGTGGTGAAAAGAGTGTGTTGTAAAGGCTTCTCTGCCTTGCTGTGGGTGCAAAAGGAGAGTCACTATTGGTATTAGTGCAATACTCAGAGGGTGCCTCTAGGGAGTGGATGTAGGTCTGGTTTTAGACCGAACCACTATAAATCTGGTGTCATTTAGTTTACTATTTTTACGTTTCCGCATTTTAATTCTTAGTCTTAAAAACTCTGTGGTTGAAAAACTTTTCTACAAAACTTAAAAGAAACAATTTTTATTTCGGTTCAACATAATTTTAAAAGAGGGCTTAAAAATTTTTAAACTACCAATTCACCCCCCTCTTGGTAGCCTTTGGGACATTAACTTAGGCTTAACAACCTAATTACTAGACTCAACATATATGCTAGAAGAAATAATAATCAATACAATAATATTTTTGAATCATAAAAAAATACACATGATATGAAAACATAGTTATGAAAACTAAGTTACAATAATGTCCCCCTTTTTTATGATTGCAAAATAATTATAGTTTGAGTTAAAATTTAAAGCAATTTTCTCCTTAGCTCCCCATAAATAAATGACCAATTTAAATCAAGGGGTTCCCATTAAAATAAAAAAAACAAAAACCTTAAAATTTAAAAGAAACAAAAAACAATACCACTAAAATAAAAAATAACTTGAACAAAAATACGAACAAGAGCATTCAAACACTTAAAACATGCACACATCACATTACACGCATTCATAATACAACATATACATACACATAACACAAATACAACAATCATCAAACAATATAATGACTCTCCCTTTTGACAATGACAAAAAGAAAAGTACATCTTGAAATGAAAGATTTTTATAGATAAACCAAAAGAGTTGATGAAGAAAAAGATTTTATACCAATTACAAATATAATATAAACGTTGTAATACTAAAAAGAAAAATTTAAAACTTTAAATAAAAGAACAATTAACATAAGAAAAGTCAACCAGGTTCATTATTCTTGCTAGACAAATTAAATAAGAAATAATTATTGCAAAATTGATGAAATAAAGATTATTTAATTTTCAATTCAATAGTGAATATGATTATTAATATGATGAATTTGGATTAGGGATAGAATGATAAAGGAAAAATAATATAATATTTTTAGTTGGAGATAATGCACATCTTTTTAAATATTTTTAGTACATTTTGTTCATCTTTTATATTTGAGATAATTTTGTGCATCTTCTCATTTTGTGAGCCCTTGTTCATCTTTTTTTTTGTACACTTTGTGCAACTCCTTTTTTTTTTTACTTTTTGGGTTTTCCAATATCAGTAATCTAAATTTGAATTCCACTAGTAATAAAAATTAACATATTAAAAAAAATAAAAATAATAAGACATGAATCTTACAACAATTATAGCTTAGATATATTTGTTAATAAGAACATTAATTTGATCTCCTTATCTACATCCAATAATAAATTGATTTAAATTTTTTGAAAGATTAAATTTTGTAAGGAAATTAATTTATGGAGTAAAGTAGTTGAGAATCCATTCCAATGATTAACTACAAACGATTTTCCAATTAAAACCATAAACATTTCAAGAAATTAAATTCAATGCGAGTGAGCAAAATATTCCATTATTTCATTGATTTTCAAGGAGCACATACAATCATATTTCTCATTTCATATCATATATCATAATAACATCTCAGAAATTCAAAACAACACATGAAAATACTAAACTCATAGAAGAAACATCACAATTCCAAAAAAAAAAAATTCATAAGCAATAACAACAAAGAAGTAAATCTAGAAATCAAAGGGGTCTTGGTCTGGAGGAGGTGGTCTAGTGATAGAATATCCTTCAGTAGTATTACAAATTTTAAAATCAGTCATAATCATTTTTTAAAAAGTAATATAAACTTAATTTTTTGAAATTGGCTCTAATACCAAAAAATAGTCTGAATAGGTTGCTAGACCTATTAAGTTTGTCTCAAGGCTAACTAAGAGTGGGGGGGGGGGGGGGGGGGGGTGGGGGGGGGGGGAAGGGTGAATTGGTTATTTAAAAATTTTGTGGATTCTTTTAAAATAATTTTAACAAAATTAAATATTTAATCCTTAATATATATAGTTGTTTAAATATGATTTTCACAAAAGATTTTTCAACCCTAAATCATTAAAGTGTAAAAATAAAAATATGAAAAATAAAATTGAATTGAAGATCACCAAAATTTATAATGGGTTGGTACAACTAGACCTATGTCTACTCTATGAAGACTTCTTCATGTATTGCCCTAAATAATAGTGACTCTCCTTTTGCTCTCATAGCAAGGTGGAGAAGCCCTTAAAAACTCTCTACCACCAACACGGTGAAGTAGAGAATAGTCATCCCTTTTCACCCTCCCTAGTGTAGGAAGAGAACTATCATCCTTTTTTGCCCTACTTCTGAAGGAAGACAACCATCATCCTTTTTCACCATCTTTGGTGAAGGCAGAGAATCGTTGTCCTTTTTTACCCTCCTAGTTAAGGCAGAGAACCAGTGAACAATGTTCAAGAGCTTCACATAAGATCCTACTGAGGTGATGTGCAGAAATTTGAAGGAGGCAAAGAGATCCTCAACTTTGGGCAATCTTTTGAACCCTTCATAATTTCCACTTGTAAGATCTCTATCCACACTCTCAAACACTCACACTAAATGACAACTCTCACGAGAAATTTACAACAAAGGTGTTTAGTGATAGTTTTTAGGACTCCATATATATAAAGGACATGAAAAATCATCCAAAAACTAAAAAATTACAAGAAAATTCTCCTACGTGTAGTCTCGTATGATCCGTCCATACAAACATATAACATCCTACATTAACAGTTCAAATTTATATGTACAAACTAGTACGAACTCAATTTTTCCATCCATATAAAATATATATCGTCCCGTATGAATTGTTCAAAAATCAATGTACGAAATAGATTTCGTACTCTGTTAGTCATCTATATGAACTAAAATTATACTGTATGAATAGTTTAAAGTTTGAACAAGTTCATCCAGTTCGATGATATACGACCTAATTTTATGTTGATTCTATATAGGTGTTTAAACCTAAAGCTATTGTCCCAAAGCTAACCAAGAGTGGGGAGAATTGGTAATTTAAAAAAAAAATGCTTTTGGATTTTTAAAATTAAAACCTTCTAAATTTTTTCAATAATTTTATTTTTAACTTAAAAATAAGCTTTTCAACCACATATATTAAATTGCATAAAATATATGTGGAAATTTAAAAGATACAAAGATTTATAGTGGTTTTATCAAGCACGACCTATATCCACTCCCAGAAGACTCCCTCTTCTGGTATTGCACTTTTACCAAAGTGTCTCTCCATTTGTCCCAATAATAAGGTGGAGAAGCCTTTACAAATCCTCTCTTCCACCAATCCCCAGTATGTTAGAGAACAGTTATCCTTTCACACTCTCCAAGTGTTAGCAGAGAATGGTCGTCTGTTCACACCCTCCAAGTGTCGGTAGAGAACTGTCGTCTGTTCACACTCTCTAAGGATCGACAGAGTGCTATTACCTATTCACACTCTCTAAGTATCGGTAAACTACCAGATGTTCTTCAAAGATCTTCTCACGAGCAACAAGAAAGAAGAAAAGAAGAGTGATAACCAAATACACAAAGAGA